ATATAGAGACAGGTAAAAGAATACTAGGGGGTCAAGGATTCTAGAAACAGAATTTTAAAGAGAAAAGGCAGCAACAGTTAGGAGCTAGAGAGGGGGCCAGAGATGAGAGACATGCCAGAATCCAAATCAAGATGACTGATTAATGAGAGAGAGTGGAGTCCAGGATGAGTCCATTTGAGGTAAGCATTTAGAAGATCAGGAAAATGAGAAGGTCAAGTTGGAAGATAAAGAGAAATGAACACAAGATGCTAATTGGAGATGGAACAGAAGAAAGACAAAGTAGTAAGAGGAAAAACTGTCACCAAGGATATTATGTATATGAAGACAAGCAATATGAGGACTAAGAAAATACCAGTACCATGACATGCAATGTTAAAACTATATGGCACTTATATAATCACATTATTCTGTTAGTGAATTCTTTTCAAATGAGCATTGATATTGATATTCTAAATTGCAGATTTAGCTACAGAATTTATCTTTATCTTAAAATAATATTTTAAAAGAACTGCATTTCTCCTTCTGTCATATACTTATACCTGAATACAATTTTCTTATCATTTGGTATGTAGTAATCTCTGATTTCTTTCATTGCAAAGGTATTGCTTGGAGGGTCTCGAGAGAGGCATGGGAGTGGATGATAAGACCCAATGATGCGTAGTTTCCATCTTGAAGCTGATACAAAAGTATCACCAGTAAATGCCTCAGCCACGAATGTATATCCTTTCTGAAAAAAAGGAGTCATTACACAGAAAGTTTGTTATCACTAGTTTTTCAAATATATAATATATGATTTCACACGGCTAAAACGCCATATCATGACATGCATAAATTTCCCTGGGTCTCATAATAAACATAAAATTACTAATGCTAGTGTTTGAAATTCCTCGGAGATACCTCTATCTTACAGGTATTAAGAAAGTTATATAACTCTAATATTTAAACAAACGCTTGCTAAGCTATAAAAGGTCTTTTATGTATGAATGTTCAATTCTAACTTTTTATGAATGAAGAAAACTGTCCTTGGCCTTGAAAATGCAAATAAACTATTTCAGTTGCTTCCTTTAAAGAAGACACTCAGGTTCCTCTGAAACCAACACCCAACAATTATCCCTTCAGTGACTGCTGATGAGATTGACAGATGATGGGGGTTTTCCTTTGCTCTGTGTAAGACAGATGGAACTTTTACAGAGACGAGAGACTGTACTGACAAAGGATAAACTCAAATACTAAAGGACCCACAAACCAAAGCTTCGGGATTGCTTTCTATAGGAAGAAAATAAGTCCTCTAGAGCCTAAAGTTTGAATGTTTTGGTTGGATGTCTACCCAATGACCCCATTTCTCCATGATGTCTACCCTCAAAGACAGTAATAAATAGTCTCAGAAACACTTGCCATGTTGAAACAATTATAATGGTGGACCCATGAAAGTTTCCTTTGTCTTTAGGTTATAGAAGAATCCTTTGGGGTTTCCACTTATATTCCATATTATTTATGCAAACTATCCAGTTCTAAAGTCTAGGACAGATCAGGATTTTCAAAAGAGGCCTACAAATTATCTGGGAAATATGTGAAGCAGTGCCAAGTGCTTCTGACCACTAACAGTTTTTGTGTGGCACTAGAAAAAAAAATATGGGGGTTGTGGCTAAAGGGTGGCTCTGTAATTATATAACTTTAACACTAAATTATAGTATTATAAGAAATAGAGTTAAACTCCAATGAGAAACAGAGATAATCAGCTGATCTGGGTTAGGGTTAGGACTTCATGATCTCTTTAAATTCATTTGTCTTCCAAGGGTTTGTACCATTTTATTTCAATGATTGTAATCTCTCATTCTTTGCCAATGCTTTTAGTGCAGCTTGGACTTCTTCACTGAATACTGTTGGTTCTTAATCATATGGAACCTCCAGAAATGGTTGAACAATGACCAATTCTTTATGGTATACTGACTCTGTGTGTTCCTTCCTTGGCTTCCTGAGTACTTCAAGTTTTGGCCCATTAAATCTTACAGCATTGAAAATTAAGGCTTGAATTTTTTTCTTGAATTCTTTCAACTTGAGAAATGCTGAGTGTTCTTCCTTTTTAGTGCTGCACATTTTATTATAATACTTTGTATTGTATTCTCAAGTTAGCATTTGAAATATATTCAGAATTGTACTTCACCATTTCTGCTATTTGTTTTACCCACTCTATGCTCAAGAGCAAGTTTCTGATATCCACTTTGGTGTTTTCTTTCTTCTATGTCTTTTTTTAATAACCTTTGGCTTCCTTCATGTATGATGTTCTTGATGTCATCCCACAAGGATTCTAGTCTTCAGTTATTATCTATTCTTGAGATGATCTCTATATTCAGACAGCATATACTCAAGGCCCACACTTCTCTGTCTGTTTGTCATACCATGGTAGCTTTGTGTTGCTGTGATGCTGGAAACTATGCCACCAGTATTTTAAATACTATGAGTCATCCATGGTATACAAATTTCAGCTGAGCTTCCATTTAATGTACAAGGAACATTAGTTAATACCACTATTATACAAATTTCTGCACAAACACAAAAGCCAGTATTTATGAAATGACGAATTCTACCAACTTCTTTAGTCTGAAATTGAACAAACATGCAATCAAGATGTATTGATAATTACTGGTGATTGCAATGCAAAATGTGGAAACAAAGATGAAAGATTAGTAGTTGGAAAATATGGCCTAGGTGATAGAAATGCTGCTGGAGATTGCACGATAGAATTTTGTAAGACCAATACTTCATTCAAATACCTTCTTTTTAAACAACATAAAAGATGACTATGCACATGGATATCACCAGATGAAACACAAACTGAAATCAAATTGACTATATATGTGAAAATAGATGGTGGAAAAGGGCCATATCATCAGTCAAAACTAGGCCGGGGCAGACTATGCAACTGACCTTCAATTGCTAATGTACAAGTTCAGGATGAAGTTAAAGAAATTAAAACAAATCCATGAGAATCAACTATGATCTTGAACATACTCCATCAAATTTTAGAGATTTTCTCAAGAACAGATTTGAAGCATTAGAGACTACTGATCAAAGAGCAGAGGAGTGTGGCATGGCATGAAGATCATCACACAGGAAGAAAGAAAAAGGCCATTAAGAAGACAGGAAAGAAGGAAAATACCAAAATGGAGTCAGAAGAAACTGAAACTTGCTCTCCAGAGTAGAAGTACTAAAGCAAATGGAAGAAACGAGGAGGTTAAAGAGATAAACAGAAATTGCCAAAGGACAGCTTAAGAAGACAAAGTCAAATGTTATAAAGAAATTTTTTTAAAAAATGGAATTAGAAAAAGAAAACAGCAGGATCAGCCTTTCTTAAGCTGAAAGAACTGAAGGAAAAAATAAAATCTCAACTTGAAATAGTGAAGGATTCTTGGGGCAGAATAGTAAATGATGCAGAAAAGATAAAAATAAGAAAATAAGACAGAAGAAGTACACAGAGTCACTGTACCAAAAAGAAATGGTCAATGTTCAACCATTTCAAAATGTAACATATGATCAAGAGCCAAAGGTACTAAAGGAAGAAGTCCAAGGTGCACTGAAGAGGTGCAAAGAATAAGGCTCTGGGAATTGAAGGATTGCAAATTGAAATCATTCAAAAAACTGATGTAGCACTGGACATACTTACCCATCTATGCCAAGAAACTTGAAAAACAATCACCTAGCCATCTGATTTGAAGAGATCCATACTTGTGTCCATTCTAAAGAGAGGTGACCCAATGGAATGAGGAAATTATCGGAGAATAATTTAAAATCCAAGTAAAAATTTGCTATAATTAAAAAATGGCTGCAACAGTACATTAACAAAGATATTTTTGCTGAGGTTAGATGGATCTTGGCTGAAAGCAGACAATGCCAGGAAGATGTTTACTTGTGCTTTATTAACATGCAAAGTCTTTTGATTATGTGGATCATGACAAGCTATGGACAACAATGTGGAGAATGAGTATTCCAGAACACTTATTTTTGTCATATAGAACAAGAGGGAGGCATTTGAATAGAAAAAGGGGACACTGAATGGTTTAAAATCAGGAAAAGTGTGTGTCAGTGTTGTATTCATTCACCATATATATTCAATTTGTAATCTGAGCAAATAATTTGAGAAGCTGGATTACATGAAGAAGAGTATGGCATCAGGATTGAAGGAAGACTCATTAACAACCTGCAATATACAGATGATACAACCTTACTTGCTGAAAGTGAAGAGGACTTCAATTACTTATGATGAAGATCAGAGACCACAACCTTAAATATGGGTTGAACCTCAATGTAAAGAAAACAAAAATCTTCACCACTGGACCAGTAAATACCATCATGTTAACGGGAGAAAAGACTGAGGTTGCCAAAGATTTTCATTTTGCTTGAATCCACCACCCACATGCATGGAAGCAGCAGACAAGAAATTAAACGATGCAGGCAAGTCTGCTGCACAATACCTCTTTAAAGTGTTCAACAGTAAAGACGTCACTTTGAGGGCTAAGGTGTGCCTGACCCAAGACATGGTATGTTCAATAACCTTACATGCATGTGAAAGTTGGCCAGTTAATATATACTTCAGAAGAATTGATGCAGTTGAGTTATGGTGTTGGAAAAGAATATTAAAAAGTACCATGGACTTACAGAAGAAAAAACAAATCTGTGTTAGAAGAAGTACAACCAGAATGACCCTTAGAGGTCAGGATGGTGCAATTTAGTGTCTCATACTTTGTATGTATTTTCAGTGGGACCAGTCCCTGGAGGACATCATGCTTGGTAAAGTGGAGGGCCAGTGAAAAATACGAAGACCTCCAAAGAGATGGATTGATACAGTGGCAGCAGCAATGGGCTTAAGTGTAAAACTGATTCTGAGATTGGTGTAGGACTGGGCACTGTTTTGTTCTGTTGTGCATCGAACAGGTCACTATGAGTGGCAACTGACTTGATGGTACCTAACAACAACAACAACATACTCAAGATCATACGTTGGTTTTCATGTTTTAATTTTCTTTAGTTCAATTTGAACTTGTAAATGAGGAACTGGTGGTCTGTACCACAGTCAGTTCTTGGCCTTGTTCTGACTGACAGACAGTGAACTTTTCCATCATGTTTTACTGCAGATGTACTTGATTTAATTTCGGTGTATTCCATGCATCCAGGTCCACCTTGTAGCTTTTCATTATGGAATTACTTACTGTTCATGGCAAGAAATGTGGAAGACAGCTAGCTACCTGGTTAACAAATGGAAGAGATACATATTTTGCCTCTTCCAAAAAAGGTGATCAACAGAATGTGAAAATTACTGAACATTGCTATTAATATCACATACTAACAATTGTTCTTGAAGATAATTTAAAAAATAGCCATGGTGGTGGTCATGGTGGTTATGTGCTGTGGAGGTGGTTCCGACTGACAGTGACCCTGTCCAGGGTTTCTGAAGCTGTAAATCTTTACAGGAGCAGAAAGAAAGCCTCATCTGTCTCCCGCAGAATGGCTGGTAATTTTGAGCTGTTGACATTGAGGTTAACAGCCTGATTTGTAATGCCTACATTACCTGAGCTCCTTAAAACTAGCTGTATCAGTACATAAATATGGAATTGATAGAAATTCAAGCTGGATTCTGATGAGGCTATAAAACATCACAGCTGATGTCAGACAGATCTTGGCTAAAAGCAGAGGATATCAGAAAGATTTAACCATGTTTTGGTAACTACACAAAGGCATTCAATCTTTTATTTTGTGTATGTGTTTACAGTATATGATATATAACATTTCAAAGAATAGGAATTTCAGAACACTTAATTGTGCTTATGTCGAACCTGGCCTTAGATGACAGGCAGTTGTTCCAACTAAAAGAATATGATTTAAAAATTTAAAAAGTTGGGTAACAGGGTTTTATCCTCTCATCAGTCTTATTCAATATGGAAGTTAGGCAAATAATCAGAGAAGCTGGGTTATAGTTGTTGTTAGGTGCCATCGAGTTGGTACCGATTCATAGCGACCTTATACACAGCAGAACGAAGCACTGCCCGATCCTGAGCCAACCTCATTACTATTGCCACACTTGAGTCCAGTGATGCTGCCACTTGGCCAATCCATCTCCTTGGGGGTCTTCCTCTTTTTCTCTGACCCTCCACCTTATCAAACATAATATCCTTCTCCAGCGACTGGTCCTGCCTGACAATATGTCTGAAATATAAGAGATGACATTTGGCCATCTTGTCCTTCAAGGAGCATTCTGGCTGCTCTTCATCCAAAACGGATCTATTGGTTCTTTTGGAAATCCATGGCACTTTCAGTATTCTCCTCCAACACCAAACTTAAAAGCATCAATTCTTCTATGGTCTTCCTTATTCACTGTCCAGATTTCACATCCATATGAGGTTATTGAAAATACCATGGCTTGTGTTAAGAGCACCTTAGTCCTCAAGCTGACATCTTTGCTCTTCAACGCTTTCAAAAGATCTTGTGTAGCAGCTTTGCCTAATGCAATATGTCCTTTGATTTCTTGACTGCTGCTTCCGTGAGTGTTGATAGTTGATCCAAGAAGAATGAAGTCCTTGACAACTTCCATCTTTTCTCCATTGATAAGAATGTTGTTTATTGATCCAGTTGTTGTTGTTATGTGCCGTGAAGTTGGTTCCGACTCATAGTGACCCTGCACAGGGTTTCTGAGGCTGTTAATCTTTATGGGAGCAGAACGTCTCATCTTTCTCCCGTGGAGCAGCTAGTAGTTTCGAACTGCTGACCTTGCGGTTCACAGCCCGATTTGTAACCACTACACTACCAGAGTGTGGATTTTTGTTTTCTTAACATTGAGATGTAATCCATACTAAAGGCTGTGCTCTTGATCTTCATCAGTAAATGTTTTAAGTCCTCTTCACTTTCAGCAAGCAAGGTTGTATCATCTGCATATCGCAGGTTGTTAATGACTCTTCCTCCAATCCTGATGCCACGTTTTTCTTCATATAACCCAGATTCTCAGATGATTTGCTCAGCATACACGTTGAATAAGTATGGTGAAAGAATACAACCTTGTTGCACATCTTTTTTAATTTTGAACCATTCAGTGTTCCCATGCTCTGTTCGAAAAACTGCTTCTTGGTCCATGTACAGATTCCTCATGAACACAATTAAGTGTTCTGGAATACTCATACTTCGCAATGTTGTCCATAGCTTGTCATGATCCATACCACTGAAAGCCTTTGTGTAGTCAATAAAGCACAGGTAAACGTCTTTCTGATATTCTCTGCTTTCAACCAAGATCCATCGGACATCAGCAATGATATCCCTCATTCCACAGCCTCTTCTGAATCTGGCTTGTACCTCTGGAAGTTCTCTGTCAATATATGATTGTAGCTGTTTCTGTATTACCTTTAGCAAAATTTTACTTGCATGGGATATCAAAGAGATTGTCTGATGATTTCCACATTCCATTGGGTCACCTCTCTTTGGAATAGGCACAAATATTGATCTCTTCCAATCAGTCGGCCAGATAGTTGTCTTCCAAATTTCTTCGCAGAGATGAGTGAGTGCCTCCTGTGCTGCCTTACTTTCTTGAAATATTTCAATTTTTATTCCATCAATTCCTGGTGCCTTGTTGTTTGCCAATTTCTTCAATGCACCTTGGACTTCCTCTTTCAGTATCATTGGCTTTTGGGCATATGCTACCTCTTGAAATGGTTGATCATTAACCATTTCCTTTTGGTACCAGAAGCTGGGTTACATGAAGAAAAAAACTGCATCAGGATTTGAGGAAGGCTTATTAACAGTAGCAGCCCTTTCAGCTATGGACCAAAACGTTGAGCGTTCAAACCCACTAGCTACTCCATGGGAAAAGATGAGGCACACTGCTTCTGTAAGATTATAGTTTTGGCATCCTACAGGGCAGTTCTACTAAGCCCCATAGGGTTGCTATGAATATGAACTGATAGATGACAATGCATTAGGTTAATCTGCTATACAAGACCTCTTTAAAGTGTTCAAGAGCTAAGATTTCAGTTTGAGGAAGAAGATGAATCTTACCGAAGCCATGGTATTTTCAATAATGTCATCTGCATGTGACAATTGGACAGGGAATAAGGAAGACTATAGAAGAACTGATACACATGAGTTATGATGTTGGAAGAGGATACTAATGGACCATGGACTGCCAAAAGAACAAATCAGTCTGCATTGGAAGAAGTATAGCCAGAATGGAAGCAGGATAGCCAGACTTAAGTCTCTCATACAGTCCCCGGAGAAGGATATCATTTTTGGTAAAGTGGAGGTTAGGAGAAAAAGAGGAAGACCTCCAACTAGATGGATTGGTACAGTGACAGCAGCAATGGGTTCAATGACTGTGGGGTTGGCTAAAGACCAGGTAGTGTTCCATTCTGTTGCACATGGAGTCCATATGAGTTGGTATTGACTCAATGGCACCCAACAACAACAAGATGTCAATGGGTGTGCTTGTTTTTGTTTCATTAACAACCTGTGATAGCTGATGTTGCAAACCTTGTTTGTAAAATGGAAAAGGGCATTAAACACTCATTGATGATCATCAAAGATTCTAGCCTTCTGTATAGATTACACCTCAACACAAAGAAATAAATATATTAACAACTGGACCAATAAGAAATATCATGATAAATGGAGTAAAATTTGAAGTTGTCAAGGATTTAATTTTACTAGTGTCAACAATCATAGTATCAACAATCAATGCTCTTGGAAGCAGCAGTCAAGAAATCAAACAATGTGTATTGCATTGGGGAAATTTGTTACAAAGACCGTTTTAAAATGTTAAAGATGTCATTTTGAGGACTAAGATATTCCTTACCCAAGCCATGTATTTTTAATCTCCTCATATGAATGCAAAATATGGACAATGAGTAAGAAATATTGAAGAATTGATGAAGTTGCATTACAGTATTGGTGCAGAATGCTGAATATACCATGGATTGCCAGAAATCTGTCTAGCGAGGATGGTGAAATGTCATTTAACTTACTTTAGACATGATATTAGAAATGACTATGCCATAGAGAAGGACATCCTGCTGTTGTTAAGTGCTACCAAGTTGTTTTCAACTCATAACAAGCTGTATAGGGTGTCCTAGGAGTGGCTTATTAGTCTGAACAGCTAACCTTGCTGCTAACAGTCCAGTGCTTATACTACAGCACCACTCCAGGGTCAGTGAAAAACAGGGAGACCATTAATGACATGGACTGACACGGTGGCTTCAGCAATGCGTCTAAGCATATCAATGATTGTAAGGCTGGCAGAAAACCAGGCAACATTTCATTCTGTTATACACAGTGTTGTGATGAGTTAAACTTAACTCCACGGCATCTATAATCAACAATAACTATGCTTTGCTTCTGTCATTTTTTTTTCTTTAAGGAGGTAAAGAGGAGGCATGGGGGTTGAAGAATCCTGTAGCACTAATATAAATTCCTTCTGCTGTCAAATACATGGGATTTCTGCACATAAAGTTTTGCCACCTTGGAAACCATATAGAATAGTTTCACTCTAGCCTATCAGATCATTATGAGTTGAGGTCAAGTCAATGGCAGCTGGTTTTTATAAGTAAAAACTAGTACCCTATTCTCTGCTAACTAGAATGAAAGCATATCTGCCTTACCTTCTCCTGGACTTTCTATAAGGTGATAGTTTTGTACTGTCATTCAATCACATGAGGAGAGTAAAGTTTAGACTTACCTTGTTCTTGGTATAGAGATAAGGTACCACTTTTTGGAATACCTTTGGCACTTGTTCCATTGTGTCATTATTAACAACATGGAGAATACAGACTGGAAGGGTAGTGTATATTTTGGGGACCACAATCATATCTTGAGGAACCAAAAATATTTCCCTATAATTACAAGAAGCATAAACTTTAAAATGAAGTTTACAGTCTAAATCAGGTTTAATGTTAGGATGTAAAAAATTAAGTCTAAAGTCCCCAATTACAAAACACACATAATATTTCTCTTTAAAATTATGAATATATTTTGTCATGTAATTCCATATCTTTAAGAAATCCTATGTATTATGATTATGAACACACAAAAATTAATGATTTATTCAGATTTTTTTCACAAAAATATAAATGTGCAATAGGTCAAATGTATTAAAAAATCATTTAAAATTCATCTTACTAATTGACAAAATCTTCAATCTTAGTAAAATTTGATGGCAATATTTAGGCTATGTAGCTAATATGGTAGATTTCAAATAGCAAAATTTAGACAATATGCTAAATAGCTAAAAGGTTATGGCTTGGGCATTAATGGGTTTACTTTCTATTTTGAAAGCACACTAATTTTTTCTATTACCATGCTCATAAAAATTTCAAGTAATTATTTCATATTCCTAATATTTTCTTTACAGAAACTAAGATAAATTTCTTTATAATTTCATCTAATTCAAGCATATTAGGTATGCAAGAAATCCTAAACAAGTTAAGAAAGCAAGAAGTTAATGCTTTTTCCTATAATCATGAGCATAACGCTAGAAATATTACTACTGCATGACATCTAAAAATGACTTCATTTGCCAGCATATAATAAGCTCACCTGAAAACTATAAACCAAGAATTTGGTGATTGGTCTGGATAGTTCACAGAATAGTCGGCAAAGGCAATCTTTGTTTCTTCATCCTGATAGCATGGATAGGATTCAATAGACTTGCACTTGCTTTTAAACATCAATCTGCAAATGTAAAAATAATGTAAATATCAATGGCAGAAGCAACTTTTAAAATACACTCTATTTTAAAAAGAAGAAATAGGCAAAAATAACATAAAATAATACAATGGTTTATTTATTAAAATGAGTTATTAATCACACAGGTGGTTGGGTGGTCATGGTAGATGATGCAAAGGAAGACCTTTTTAAAGTGTTAAAGAGCAAAGATGTCAACTTGAGGACTAAAGTGCGCCGGACCCAAGCCATGGTATTTGCAATATCCTCATATAAATGCGAAAGCTGGACAGCGAATAAGGAAGACGGTAGAAGAATTGATGCTTTTGAGTTATGGTGTTGGAGGAGAATATTGAAAATGTCATGGGCTGACAAAAGAACCAATAGATCTGTTTTGGAAGGAGTGCAGCCAGAGTGCTCCTTGGAGGCCACGATGGCCAAACTTCGTCTCTCATACTTCGAAAATATTGTCAGGAGGGAACAGTCACTGGAGAAAGATAGCGTCAGTAGTTTGAAAATACAGCCTTACTGATACAAATTACTTTGGAGATCACATATTAAATTTTGCAAGATAGAATAACTTGCAAAGAACTTCAAAGTTTGTTTGAACTTCAAGGTCAGCTGTTCAAACTCACCAGTAGCCCTATACAGGGTCGCTATGATTCGGAACTGACTTGAAGGCACTTATAATAACAACAATTTATTCATTGCAAATTCCTTTTCAAAAACAACATAAAAGGTAATAATACATATGGACCACACCAAATGGAATACACAGAAATCAAACAGTGTGCCTCTGTGGGAGGAGTCTTGGTATGGTGCTATTGGATAAACACTAGACCCTAAGGTCAGTATGAGCCACAAGTTAGCCATTCAAACTCATCAGCCACTCCTCAGAAACCCTATATAGGGTCACTATGAGTCAGAAACTACTAGACAACACTTAACAATACAAAAACCTCTGTGGAAAGAGATGATGCAAAAGGTCAGTCTCATCAGCCAAAATAAAGCCAGGGGAGGACTGTACTCCTATACAAGTTCAGGTTGAAACTGAAGAAAATAAAAAGAGGTCCACAGTTGTGGAATTAAAGCCTTGAATATATCTTACCTGAATTTGAAGATCATCTCAAGAACAGATTAGACACTTTGAGCACCACTGACTGAAAACCAGAGGAGTTGTGGGATGACACTGAGAATATCAAACATGAAGAAAACCAAAGATCATTAAAAAGAGAAGACAAAAGTGGGTGAAATTTGTGCTTGACTATAGAGAAACCAAAGTAGCTGGAAAAAAATGACGAAAACAAAGAGTTGAACAGAAAATTTCAAAAGACAGCTGGAGAAGACAATAAAGAGTATTGTAGTGAAATATATAAAGGCCTGGAATTAGAAGACAAAAAGAGTAGAACATGCTCAGCATTTCTCAAGTTGAAAGAACTCAAGTCACAATATTGAAAAAATCTGTGGACTAAATATTGCACAATGAAGCACCAAAAGAAGAAGGAAGCAATACAGAGAAACACAAAAAGAATTGGTCCATGTTCAGCCATTTTGAGGTATCATATGCTAAATAGCCAATGGTATTTATGGGAGAAGTACAAGCTGTACTGAAAGCATAAGTGAAAAAAAAAAAAAAAAAGGCTCCAGGTGACCAAACTAATAGTCTATATCAATGGACCCACCACTCATATGTCAATTTGTCATACTTTGGGGGCTTGCATGTTGCTATGATTCTATTTAAAATACCAGCAATGTCACCCATGGTGAACAGGTTTCAGCTGAGCTTCCAGATGAAGAAAATGTAGGAAGAAGGAGAGACAGACTACTTCTGAACATTTATTCACTGAAAAGTTTTTGAATAGCAGTGGAACAATGTCAGTATCAGAATATTGATTATGGAAACATGATGAAGAGCACCAGACTATTGTCATGAATAATGCCAGAAGATGTGTCCCTCAGGTTGAAAGGTAGTCAAAATACAACTGGGAAAGAGCTACCTCCTTCCTCAAAGTAGAGTTAACCGTGATGATGCAAAATGAGTAAAGTCTCAGGGAGCTTCATTTTCTGATGGGGAACAACTCAAATTGAAGACAAATAGTTGTAGACATCCATTAATAACTGGAACATGGAGTGTACCAAGTATGAATTGAGGAAAATTGGAAATTGTAAAAAATGAAATGGAATGCATAAACATCAATATTCTAGGCATTATGAGCTGGAATAGACTGATCTTGGCCATTTTGAATCTGACAATCACATGGCAACTGATATGCCAGGAATGACAAATGAAAAATGAATGGCTTTACACTCATTATCAAAAAAAGCATATCAAGATCTGTCTTGAAGTACAATGCTGTCTGTGATAGGATAATAGCCATAAGCTTGCAAGGAATACCAGAAAATACCACTATTATTTTTCACCAACCACAAAGCCAGTGATGATGAAATTGAAGTATTGTACCAACTTCTTCCATCACTCATCTGTCAGTTTGTCATACTGTGTTGGCTTGTGAGTTGTTGTGATTCTGAAAGCTATGCCACTGGTATTTTAAATACCAGCAGGGTCACCCATGGTAGACAGGTTTCAGATGAGCTTCCAGATGAAGACAGACTAGGAAGAAGGA